GAGGTCCCTTCCAATCTCTAGCATACTGTGTGATACTGTGTGATGTCCTGAAAAATCACTATGACCAACAGAAGTTACTTCAAAATTACATTATATGTGCACCTAGATTTGTAACTTGATTAAGATTGAATTAGGTCCCACTGAATATAGCTGAATAGATTCACCCTTATTTGCTTCATAAAGGACCTTCATCCTTTATTTGCTAACTCCTTGAGTATGGGGAGTTTTTTTAACAATCTACAGAAAGGGACAGATGCCCTTGTAAGTAGCAGGCTTTCCATATATTCTATGTCCATAACTCAGCTTCAACACAGCTGAAGTATTGTCTTTACTGTCAAAAAATCCCCCAGTAAAGTATCCTAAGAACAGATTCATCTATTCTTAGAGGCTGTGCCAGCTTCTACCTCTTTACACCATCAGAAGGAGGAAGAACCATCTCCTGGTGGCTTAGAAAGAAAGCCAGCCCCACAGATTCTCCATCACTAGAGGGGTATTTGAGGGTGTTAGGCTTTCATTTGGAAATTTGAGGGTGTTACGGAGTCACACAGACTCCCACAAAATTCCCTCTGTATTATCTTGCAGTAAAAGCTGTGCCCCCAGAGTTCATCTGCCTGCCAAAGGAGTAAGCCATAGGAAAAGGATTTATTTTATCCCCATTTAAACACACATGTACAACCAAGTCTGTGCCACGTTCTGCTGCAACCAAGTACATGGGAAGAGCTGTGCAGTGCTCCCCTTGAGCACATATTGCCACAGGGGTGGTGAATGGCAAGCCAGGGCTGGGTTCACCAAACTTCCTTAAACTGGAAGAGGGATGAACCCAAACTGCCACAAGCAAGTCCCTGGGGTTCACCAGTCACCACTCTGGCTATCCTTTGTGTAGCTTATTTCACAAGGTATTCAAAGAGGAAAAAAAGAGACCTATCCACTTGCAAAAGCTGATAAAGTAACCTAAAGGATACTAAAGTTTCCATGCAGTTCTCAAAGCTATGAAGGAAACTAAAGTTTTTATGTAGCCTCCCTAAGGAAAAAAAACATAATAAATGCCTACTATTTGGTGCAATGCAGTGTAATCCAAGGGCAAGAACTTTTGCTCTTCAGAATTATTTTTATAATGTCACCTCTGCCAGGAATGATTTAAGAGCTTACAGATAAAGCAATGAATTTCATCAGAAGCAGAGAGATCACCTCAAGTCTCCCTTTAGCTTCTCAATGAATAAAACACCCTCCCGAGCCCTCTTCAGCATCTCACTAGAATTGAATCCCACTCAGAAGTGGGACTTCAAAGGAAATTATTTGTGCCTCAGTCTAAAGGCCTTCTTTTAAAACTTAAGAGAATAAACATAAGAGCATTAAACAGAAATGAGTTTGTTGACTAAGTTTTAGACAGTTTTAAAAGTGAAACTATCTTAAACCACGTATACCAAATCTACACCTCTGAACAGCTATTACTACACAGCACCACCATGCCTGCTGCATGGTAGAACAAATAGTACCTCACATTTCCAGAAAGTGAAGGCTGTCATAGCATTTAAGGTGTCTTGTATGTCAGAATTGCTTCTTGCCATTGCCAGGGGTTACCTGCATGTAGGAATCCTTTCTCTAAAACTTACACTTCTTCCAGTGCTAGATACAGCAGAGTATCATCTAAAAACTTCAATCAAGCCAATTCCAAAGGGATTTCAATACATATTTCCCTCTCTGGGGAGGGGAGATTCCTACTGAGTCTTATCCACCAGACACTACCTTCTCCAGTATCTATCAGCTCTTCTTAGTAAATTCAAATAAATAAGCAAAGGAAAACTGAAGTTAGGAAATAATTTGCAATTCACTCCTTTAGTCAACAGCCAGCAGCTGCTAAAAGACTATGTGAATGGGATCCTTCCTCATTATAGTCCTTCTGCATAGCTCCAGTAAGGAAAAGGAATCCTAAATATTGCACACATCCAGCCACGAGTCGCCCAGAAAAGCACTATGCTGGGTGGCCAGGAGCTGGGCTTGCAAAAGTCCTTTTGTCAGGTGCAATGGTTCTACCCAAGTCCCTGACATTCCTCAGGCACTACTTCAGCTATTCTTCATGTAGCTTATTTTGAATATTTTTTTTCTATTCCACCAGGATCTTTTCACTTGGAGATGCTTGATCTGAAAAGATATATTGTACAAGTCTCCATAATCTCCCCACTCTCCATAGTCATCTTACTCTTACCTACAGAAAGCAGAGGAGTAGCATTGTTGGCTCTGATAAGGAAGGCCTCAGCTCACACAGCACTTACATCTTCAAAGAGATATGTTAAAGAAAGAGAAACTCAGACTGGCACATGTTCAGGGAATACTGGTTAGGGGACTGAAGAAATGGAGATGCATCTTCTAAGGGGACACTATTACAAAACTACTTATTCAGCTTTAAAAAAGCAAAGATACACATCTTGAGACAGGGCAAAATTGTGCTACAAACACTTCAGGGAGAAAACCCAAAGGAACTTTCCAAGCTCACAAACACTGTTGGATATGAAGAAAACGGTCAGTAAGAAATGAGATTTCCAGCTATCTGGAGACCAAAGTTTTGGAACACAGGAAAAAATACCAGGAACAAAACACAGCCCCCCACTAAGTTTCCAAGATAGGGCTGGATGCGTTTGCAAAAGGTAATTATTTGCATACCTTCTCACAAGGAAATCTGCCTTAGTATTCTACCCACTCTTCCCAAGCTAGGAATAACATACAAACATTTCTAGGTAATGAGAGCACCCAAAGGCTGTTCAAACAAATGTTCTTTTAGGAGAGCTATCTACACAGGGTATATTGAGAGGCAAGGGATGAAATTAGTACTCACTGCTGCATTCCAGCAGGCCTTGATCATTTCTTCTTAGCATGTAATTTACATATTAATACTGGAAATACCATTTGTTTGTCCACTGCATTATTATTCTTTGATAAGCATGTGTCATTAATGCATAGAAATAAGGATCTTCCACTTGTCTGCTAGCAAACATAGCCAGAAGTTATTTACGAAGGAGTCATACTCAGTCTGGTTCATACCATAATGAATCACCTGCTTTATTAGTGGACACCTTTCCTTCTACAATGCCAAGGAGGCAGAGAAAGATCCTACTGCAGAGCTTGTACTGCTTACTGCATGCTGGGTAGTAACACAAGAAGACTTCCTGCTATAAGACGAACATACAGATGTGGTGGAATTGCGCTTATATGCTTCCTCCAAGCACCACCCTCTACTTACTAAGAACAGGAGTTAAAACCCAACTGTTAGGAAAATCAAGTCTTGGGAGGCAAAAAGAAAGTCTAAAACAGTAACAAAAGCACACTAGTGAAGCCTGAAACCAGGGCTAGCATACAGCTTGACAGAGCCACAGCCTTCCACTGGCAAAAGATCTGAGTCACAGCAAACGCCTGAGTCCTCTGGCACAGGACAGCCTTTGGTCACCCAGTCAACAGCAAAGAACAGGGCTACTTCCATACAACCAACAGAATGGATACAAACATAAATATTTTAAGACACTTTGGTCAGACTAAAGGTCCATTTGTTCCTGTAGCCAGTCTCTGGCAGTGGCTATCAGCAGATGCTACTGCCAGGAAACATGGCACACAGAGAGCCCTGTTGACCACAGCTCATCTTCCCAGCAAGCAGGTGTTTGAAGCTGCTCTGTGCCAGGGGACGGTTATGGCCTTTCTGCTCCAAATCCATCCAGTTCGCTCAATGTATTTCTACTTTTACATCTGATACGTCATATGGCAATGGGTTCCTGAGCTGCATCACAGGCTGTGTGAAAAAGTACTTTCTCTTGACTTTAAGCCAGATGTCTAATAGCCCCATTATGCTGCCCAAACTGCACAGGCTGTGAGACAGAATAGTCATCCCCAAATGAACTGCACCACAAACATCTCAATAGTCTCTTTTCCATGCTAAAAGTCATAACTCATTTAATCTCTCCCTGTGCAGAAGCCGTTTCAGATTTCTGGTTAACATTATTGTCCTTCTTTGTATCTTTTCTAACTCCAGTATACCTTTTTGAGATTAAGGGATCAGAAATGAGCTCTCTATTCAACACCCCATATAAGTAACCATGACAAAATGATATTTTTATCCTCATTCCTTTCCTTACAACTTCTAATATTACATTTGTCTATCAATTTGCATTGGTCATTATAAAAATTCATTTTTTCTTTTCAGAAAATTCTGTATAATAACTTCAATTTGTTATAGCTAATAGGAAAATTAGCAGTTTGCACATATATTTGGTGTTGTTTTTCCCAGGTGCATTACATAAGGTATATGGGCCCCAGACTTCATTTGCCATTTTTTATTTTACAGTCAATTAATATCAAGTAATCTTTCTAATGCTCTTTGCAGTCGATCTGAGTTTTAGCTGTTCTGAAATGTTTTGTCTCATCAAGCAGCAGCTGTGACCACATCACTCACCCCCCCCTTCTCAGATCATTTATGAATACACTAAACAGCACAGAATCTGGAGCTGTGGACACTCCTCTCTGTTGTGAGACAGACATCATTTACTCCTACCCTGTGGCTTCTTTCATTTAACCAATTATGAATCTGTGACATCCTAATCTCATCAAGAGCCTTTTGTAAAAACTATTGTTGAAAGCTTTTTGGAAATTTATTAATTGCATCACTATTATTCACATATGCTTCAAAGAGCTAGAAGAGATTTGTGACTTCAGTCTATGAAATCTGCCTTGACTCTTCTCCCTTGTGTTGTATTTCACCTGCTTCCTCTTTTTTACCATTTGTTACAGCTTCTACTGAATTGTCCAGCACAAAAGTCAGAGGTACTGTTCCATAGTTTCTCTGCAGCCCTTTGAAAAAAAGACTGGTGTTTCATTTGCTACTTCCCAACCATCCAAAATAAAAATAAAAATAAAATAAATTAAAAAAAAAAAAAAACAAAACACATTTTAAACAATAGGTTGGAAGCTACAACTAATTGTTGAGCTTACTCAGCCCTGAATTCAGTGGTACATACTTGGATCATGTTGCCTGATGTCATCAGTTTGATTCTTATCTTTCCACTGACTTCTCTAAACCCTCTTCTGGTGTCACTTCATACTGAGAGAGTGCTTCAGACACACCTCCTGTAAAGGAAGATTTTACATTAGGACAACTACCTCAATTAATGTCAATGGAAATAATTCATTTTAAGATTAATTCCCCACTTTCAATGTGCTTCCTGTAAATCCCTTCTGCTGAGGTTGAGACATCGGTATCTTCATTTAAGATCAGTTACTCTAGCTCACATCTCTTCATTTTTGTACTTCCGCTACCTTTAGAAAAATACTCGTATTCATATGAACTTTTCCAGTAGCTGCCTATTTCTGTGTCTCATGCTTAAATAGACTTTTTAATAATTATCAATGAAAACAGGCAGCTCATTTGTCCACACACGACCTGTTATACTGTCTCATGTTTTGCAGCATCCTATACATAAGTGTAGGAAATACTCCATCTCAGAAGATCTAACAACCTCAACGATGAAAGATAAAATCACAAAGAATAAATTCAAGACAGCTAGCACTTTTACTCTTCTGTAAATTAGTCGCTCCACTCCAAAATAAACGGTATTTAAATTAGAAGGCCAGGTTCTTAAGACTAGGCACAGTCTTAAATAAGGAAGGTTTATGTTTCTGATCTTGAGTTTATCAGAGGTCTCTGAAGACACAGCAAATGTTCAATACAATATTTATACTGCCACATGCTGTGATTTTTCCTGTCTGAGAGACCCCAGGGAATATGTCCTCTGCTTATCTGTAGTTATGAAAGTACTTAGGCTGCCATTTGTACAACAAACCAGTAGAAAGGAATGAAAGCACTAAACCATCCTTCTAAAACCACACAAAATACCCTGGCTGAAATTAACACCACCATTTCAGTGCTCACCTGCAGAAAGGAAACATGACATTATCTTCTCCAATGATACCTTTCACAAGGTATCAACATTGGATATTGCTTTAATGATGAAGCTGACACATATTTCTATTTGCAGTTCAGCATCCCCAAATATTTGTCATCAGTATTTGCTTCTTGTTACTTCAAAGTAAATATTTTCTAGTAGCATTACGTCTAGACATAATGGAAGTCTTACCCAGGCCTTTTAAAAAAATATGGTGGTGAGCTACTCAGACATATTTACAAGTATCTATTGAGAAGCCTTCTGACTCTAAGGCTTACATTGATATTTTATTTTATATACTGTTGTATAATATAAAGCATTTTTAATTAGGGTCACGCCACAAGAAGTCCATGTGGGAATGAGTTGATTTGGAGCTGCCTGACTGCTCCTAGGCTCCCTGCCTCAGGCACACAATCCTCAAGCTGCATAACCACCTGGACCACCACCCAGGTATTATCAACTCAAAACTACTGTTCTACTCACACACAAGTACCTGACAATAGCAGTGAAAAAATCCCTCATGTACAGACACATATATTCACATATATCACTCTTACAACCCAACAACCAACATGTTGCTTACAGGTTTGGCTTGAGCTAAAGCCCTGCAGAAGATTTGCTCTATTATTACAGAGAGAAGCTATCTCGAAAGCAAGTAGAATCTGGTCACCAATAGTTAGTGCATGCCCGCATGCTTCTCGGGCAGCTCACAGGAAAACCACCAGAAAGCAATATGACACCAATGTGAATGTGAGCAAGCTTATCCAGAAAGAGAGCATGCACTCAGCATCACTGGGACACAAGTTTAAGTGCTCACTTTGCCTGAATCACTACTAATCCTACTGGAACTATGTACGCAACTAAGGTCTAATTGCAAGAGAAGGGATTGTTTGATGAGGTTCTTAGACTTGTATACTTCTGGTCAAATCATCAACTGATGTAAATTAACACAGCTTCAAATTAATTAGTTAAGTGATGCTGAAGGTCTGGCTCCTGCTATTTGTGTGTTTTAGAGGTAAGGTAATAGAGACAAAGAGATTTTGTATGAGAAAGTTGTCTCTCTACATATTAGAATTCTTGTCAGCACACTAATAGCTAAAGTAGGTTGGTAAGTTGTAAATTATTTTTATTTTCACTAAGTTATTTTTATGGCTGTTAAGGAAACTAATTAACTATGGGTCAAATGTCAAACTTTTATCCTGGTATTTGAAACTGATTAAAAGATAAAAAAATAGAGAATTAGTCATGCAAACAGTGAGAATTTAAAAGTCATTGTAGGAGGACATTTTAATATATTTCAGTTGTTAGTAAACAATCAAGACATGATTTTCTGGGAATCTATTTGGGCAAAAATGTTGAGGTGCATCAAGTCTGAAGATGGTTTGAGGAATTAAAAGGATGTATGTACATAAGCAGATAGTTAATTTCTAAGACAAAGGAGCACTGGAACACCCTGCTTTTAGTAAAAGCAAGCACTGTCACCAGCTGTCCTAAATATACCTGAAGAGCAGCTTGAGCACTTTAAAATGAGCCTCAGCTGAAAAGCAGGAGAAGCTCCTCTCTTTTCACGGAAAACGTCAGTTTTAGCAGTCATTGCTAAATCACAAGTCAACACTAGAGCATCTCTGCTATGAAGACAGGCTGAGAGAGTTGGGTTTGTTCAGCCTGAAGAAGAGAAGGCTCAGGGGACACCTTAAAGCATCTTCCAGTACCTAAAAGGGGCCTAGAAGAAATCTGGAGAGGGACTTTTTACAAGAGCATGTAGTGACAGGACAAGGGGGAATGGCTTTAAACTGAAGGAGGGTAGATTTAGATTAGATATTAGGAGGAAATTCCTTATGGTGAGGCACTGGAACAGGTTGCCCAGAGAAGTTCTGCATGTCCCATGCCTGGAAGTGTTCAAGGCCAGATTGGACAGGTCTTTGAGCAACCTGGTCTAGTGGAAGTGTCACTGCCCATGGCACAGGGAGATTGGAACTATATGATCTTTAAGGTCCCTTCCACCCCAAAGTGTTCCATGATGCTATGAACACTGTCATCTGGGTTTGGCTTATTTTTTAATACAAAATGGCTACCCAAGTAGCTCATTATATTTATGCTGTAACAGTATTTTCAACTGCCACCACTTCGCTTTGTCTTTTCCCTTCTTCCAGAAACTGATATCCCCCCTCTCTTATGAGACATAGAATACTACAGAAAAAGTTTTGTTTGGCTCCAAAAGGACAAATATAACAAAATTGACTGCCACATCCCAAATACATCATTAGAGCTAATGAAAGCCCACTGCCAGGACACCCACAACTCTTATCTGATACTATTAAGTCTTGCCAGCGTTCTTCAGCTGAGGACTTTCAGCATTGTCACTGGGGTAATGGTTGGACTTGATGATCTTAAAGGTCTTTTCCAACCCAGCTGATTCTATGATTCCACAAGTTCTTCATATGGCCTGAGCTACAAAACAGAGGTAAAGCCATAAGCCAAGTGCTCGTTTCAAAGTACCTTGTGTAGGAGCTGCCAGAAGGGGAAATGCGTCACAGCATATGACAGTCCTGAAGTGCAGTGGAGAGAACATTTCTTCTTTCAGCCTTCTCAGCACATGAAGACACTCAAGGTTTTCCATTTTTATTTCCTTCCTCCCTCACTCCCTTTCTTTCTCCCTCTACTTCCCTCTGCTGTAAAATCTCTGTGGGCTGGACCGCAAATACTGTGTATCTATTCAGAGAAACCCTTTGCAGCTGCAAGTGTTGATCTGGGAGAAGCAGCTGAGTGTGAAGCCAAGCAATAGTTCTTTTAGTAAATTTTCTCATCCTATTTGACACTTCTTCAGGCACAACAGCTTCAGGAGATGAAGGAGTCTTCAATACTAGCATTTATACAAAACATTTTGTTCCCCACTGACCTTAAGTCTTGTATGTCTGTGGAAGATGTATGGCATATAATAACAGCAGTGCTCAGGGAAGTTCAATACAGCCAGTCACAGTTTATATGCAGGTAAATGCATTTTATTAAGTGTAAGCTTTCATTTTCTCTCATGGGTTCACAGATGCCTCACATGACATTTTTCTAAGGAGAAAATGGAACTGAATGATCTTTCAAGAAAAGACTCCCATAAAGCTCACAATTAACTCAACACCATAGCATGCAGAATCCAGGCCTGAAAGACAACTTAAAATCTTCAACATAAGATCAAAAACTACTACAAAAGGCTGCATTTTTAAAAAGAAACGTTCTCTTCAGGACTCAAACTGTTTCACAAGTTGACAATTTTCTGTGTTTATAACCAGTAGTTTCCCTTTGAAGCAACTTTTCACACGGAGATCTGATGGAATAACTCAACATTAAAAAACAGGAAAACTATTAATTATACTTATTATTTTGAGGGTTACAAAAATACAGTCACAGATAAATATCTCAAGTTGTGCACTAGAGAAATTAATAGTCTCTGTCTTATAGCTGATATATGAGAGAGCAAGTGAACAAAAATACACAGGAAAGCAGTGCAATAATAAGGAAAAAGAAATCCATTAATTAGCATCCTGTTTCATGAGTCATGTATAAAGAAAGAGCAAGTCAACCAAGTACTTCTAAAAGTTCCCTCTTAAACTGAAGTGTGGTTACATTTGGGCAGGGACATTTGAAATAGGATGCACACACGCTGTCAGCACCTGCCAAATGCAGCCTCATCATCTGGGAACAGCACAAGATGGAAAAGGAAGTAAAATTACAAACTTAATCAATGTTGCCTAAAAAACAAAAAGCACTGGTAAGTAAATCAGTGAGATGACTGAACCATATGAGTATAAACATACAGTCAGACAGCGAGGGGTATCAGCAGAAGAAAATTCTTGGCTTTTTAACATTACTGTCATATTGGATGCCGCAGCTGTATTACTTAGCTAAACTTAAAATTGCAAACACATAGCAAACTTAAAGCTCAAGTTCTCCTTAAAGTCAGACAAGAAGTGGTGTTCAGACTTTTCATTAGGCTGCTACACAGAAATGAATCTCATACAAAATTTATATCATATCTATATATCCATTTCTCCTGCATGTTTGTACCCAATGCAGAGCACTTTGTGAATAATAGAGCTTCCCAAGCACACAGGTGCTCTGCAGCTAACTCACAACAGACATTCCTGTGTGGAATGTGTGATGAAATCATGGAGTTATTTCTTCAACATTAGTTAACAGCTCTCTGGTGCAAAACACACACTTGTAGTAGGTTGCTCATAGTATCTATAAGCCAAAGTCATCAAGAGATCCATAGCAGCTATTTAAATGCTAAATAAGAAAAATTTCATATTCATCAGTTAAAAATACAAAGATTAAAGTGTAAAGAAAGAGTCACTTTTTTTGACAGATGAAAGAATTTGAAAACAATTGCTGAGACCCTTACTTTTGTCTCTAGCACCTCTGCCTTTAGTTCAGCGTTCGACTCACAAAATTTTACCTTTGTTTTTAAAGGTGATGGTGCTTCAGAAAAAATAAATTATCTGGGGCTATTTCCATGACTCCTGTCATGGTTCGAACTTACCTTATTGGGATTAGCTGCCCAGAAAAGACATTGGAAATATGGGTGCTACAAAACAGAGTATACCTTTATTCAGGTCCAGTGGCATGACATATTCACTGCTTGAAAGAAAGGCTTTGTTCAGTGACACCGCTGCAGTCTGATTATGTGACGTGGTACCAGGAATAAACAGATATCAAAGACAGCACCATGAATGGACAAACAGCCAAAAGCTTCAGCAGAGATTCTCTGAAAAAAGGGGGAGAAAGGATATGGAAGAAACCTAAACAGCCTGAATCTCCAAGTAATGTGTGCCACAAAAATAGGAGGATTGTCAAAGAAGAGGTTTAGCTCTGGCAATCTCTAGCTGTGCAGTACATGTGTTTCACAAGTTTCCAGTTAATTTGGGCAGATGGAACTACAGTGGGAAGGAACTCTGCCTTCCGTGCAAAAACGATACCCCAGGCTGGTCCCAGCCTGGACATTCCAGTGATAGACAAGCTGTTCTGCTCTTTCCCAGGACCCCTGTTCTACAGAAACACCTTAATGATTAAGTAAGACACATTCAATTTTAGGCAACCTTTAAAAGAAACATAAATATCAGCCTTTTTTAACTTCTGCCCCTCTTCCTTCTCTTTCACATGTGCCGGAGCATTTATTCTTGTTGTCTGGGACACTCAGCTAGGTGGTGGGAGGTGGTTTGAATTCCTTCAGGTGGAGAAAGGAAGGGAATGGAATTGCATCCCATCCTGCCCACTCAGAATTACACAATAAAGATCACAGAGAAAGAAGATATTACTACTTTCTCTGGTTATGTCTTCTAGGACGTGAGTGTTGCTCCACTTCTGAAGAAAATTTCTGGGGCAAACAACTTAGTCCAGCCTGTCTGAAGGGAAGGCTGGAGTCACAGGTTGGATGTCCGTGAGTTCAGGCAAGGATGAGGATGTGAGATGGAAGTTTATTCCCAGTGGCTCCTCACAGTGATTCATGACAATTTTCCCCTCCAAGTGCTGACTGTGCATGCCTCATGAGGCATCCACTCCTTTGGGGCAGAAAACAGGCACTGTGAGGCCCTCCACTGTGGATTCCTATATGGCAGTAAGAGTCTTAAAGCTAGACTATATACACAGAGAAACTCATCTCTCCAGTTCCACGTGTTTTGGTGGACCTCGGTTCATGTCCCTGCATTGTGTTCCTTGACATTGGCACACAATGAGGATAGCACACAGAAACCTGTGACTGCTGCTGGTGACAAGTGGGGACTGAAAGGATTTCCATCACCACTGGGGCCCGGCAGTTTAACATTCTTTGAGCTCTGTGTTTTCTTTCTTGAAAAATATTAGGATACTGACATTGAATTATCCCTGATTTGCATATAAATAAACTATATTGTATGGTAATTTTTGCTTTGTTTTCTTACATGCCATTGCTGCCGTAGTCTTTTGAGGTTTACCAGCTGTGCCCAGAGCATTAAAGAACTCAAGGGAATGCCACTTATCTTAATATTTTTTTGACATTTTTCATATACAAAGTTTCCTGCATAGTGACAGGTTCAGTATTGTTAAAAAACAGCAAGAGAAAAACCCAATTAAACTTGCAGTTTTCCATAGAGCAAGGCACATATGCAATATACCTGCCAGATAACTTGCTCTGTCCTTGCCTGTACAGACATATCTACAGGAAAATTTTTCCCTGTGGCCACAGCATACCCCATTTCCTAAAATTCTGCTACCTTTCTGCAGAAGAGAAATATTCAAACTAAAACACAGGAAGTTCAGATTAGATACAAGGAAGAAGCTCTTTACTGTAGGGGTGGTGAGGCACTAGAAGAGGTTGCCCAGAGAAGTGGTAAATGCTCCATCCCTGTCAGTGTTCAAGGCCAGGTTGGACAGAGCCTTGAGTGACATGGTTAAGTGTGTGGTGTCCCTTCCCATGGCAGTGGGGTTGGAACTAGGTGGTCTTAAGGTCCTTTCCAACCCAAACCATTCTATGATTCTATGATAATGGCTTTCTTCACCTTAAATATATATACTGAATTGATATGAAGGGCTAGCATTTCCAAAGGCTCTCCAGATGTGTGAAAGCCACCTGTACTTTCAGTTGCAACTTCCTGGTACACGCAAGAAGAGCTCCCGCTTACCACATTGTTCATGCTATGTAACTGCTCCTATACATATGTAATCATTTAATTTTCTCACATGCAGGAGGAAGACTGGACAGACATTTATGTTCTCAGAACTGGGATCCTCCTTTGAGATCCCATCTGCACTTCAAAATCAATCACATTAAGGAACTCCCAGTGTGATTCACAGTGAATCCAAACACTGATTCATAGCAGACCTAGAGCGCAATTTGTCTCCTGCCACTTCAGCTGTCCACAAGCTCAAAATTTTGGATAAGCAAGTCTTCTCCTATTTTCTCCATACTCAAAGGGGTACTTTTTGATACAGGATCTTTCTGCTCAGTGATTCATCAGCATGTCCTGTTTTAGGATGGGCTGAGTCATTTTCTGTCTCTCTCTCTGTCCATTGATTAAGAGCCTAGATCACTTTCTTACTGAAAAGCTAATTTCAAAGCAATTAACATTAGGACAGATGAATCTTACACCCAGTTAAATCGCTGTTCTTCAATTCCTGTACTGGTTTTATATCAACAACACTATGACATAAATCCGAGGGAATTTGCGTAAAGTAACACTTCTCTGAGAGTGTAGAGTCCAACAATAATCTCTAGTCCAACAATATTTATGACTTATAACTAGAAAGTAATTAGATAAAATGCATGACCAATGATATGAGTGACACCTTTCTCCTAAACTGTGGCTCTTGCCACTACTCATGAGTGTCAGATCCCTTTTTCCCTGTGTCTTTGGAAGCTTCCACTCCTGGATACACAATGGTCCAGCTGCAACGGGACAACTGCAGGCAGCATTTGCTTAGAGTGGTTACTGGCCCAGCAGAAAGGCACTTTCCATTTTGCCAGGCTGAGAGAGCTGAATTGCCACAAAAAGGAAAAGCATCTCAATTACTCCCCAATAAGAACATTAGATTCCTATCCAAAGGCTCATCACCTATGTCTGTGAAATAGTTTTAGGCTTCAAATCCCACTGCCACCTAAGCATCTAAGCATCTAAACAACTAAGCAACTGAGACAGTTCTATTTCCACAGGCTCTTTCAATATATCACCATGGGCTGTTTACTGATAAAACCAATCCTAGATGCCCAAGGGTCCCTATTAAATTCAGAAGGAAATTAAGTATTTACCATAAGCTTACAAATTATACTTCCAGAACAGGTGTTTGTGCTTGACACTGGGTCTAGTGTAAAACATGGTACAGAATTTGGGTGTCTGGCCTGTTCCTGAGTTGCTGAATTATCACTTCCCTGGGCATCTGGAGACACCTTGTGTGGAGACCACAGGTAGGTACTGATGATCCCTTTTACAGATAGTAAGTGCAAAATCCATTAAAGAAGCCATAGCAACCATATTTTCAATGGACTGCCTTTTGTAGGCAGTTAGATAGAACATTTCTTCGGCTGTGTTATTGTATAGGCAACCTACTAATCTCTAGATTTATAAATAGGAATTTCCTTCAGTTGTGCTAAAGTAAAAGTATAAGCATCCAAACTGAGATTGATTTGTTCACTGCCCTAGTACAGACATACATGTAAGTGAATTTCTTTGCTTTCTAA